ATGATGTTTGATTTCTTTATTTCTAAAGATTAAAAACCATGTTTTCAGTGAAAATCAAATTAATCTAATTGTTATGTAAAAATCATGAGGAAAAAATACAATGTGTACTACTAATAATTTAAAATAGGGACAAAAGGAGTTTTATCCCAGACTGCTATGGTCTTTCATTGCTATTTTTTGAAAAGCCTTTTGCCTTCGCTGTAAAATGCTAAATATTGTCAAGTTTTCCATAAAATGTGTTATGAATATGATACTAGCATTTGTGACCATATTATACTGTGTCTCCACTGTTCTTGTGGACCAGAACGGAAAATGGTTTTCATTTTAGAGAAAACGTTAGAAAAAATTATTGTTTTTAAAATAAAACTATTTATAATTTTAAGTTTACATGTGCAAAATATCTGAAAATTATGTAAAAGTAACTGCTTTTTTAAGAACACGAAAAAATATTGTTAAAGAAAGTTGTTTAGACGTTATGACAGGATTTCAATTGTGGATAAATCGGCCTACTTTGATTATTCCATAAAAACAGTAATCTTATTAGTTTGATACAAGGTACAGTGGCTCGTATAGAAGTCACTGTAATACAAGGTAGTTTCTTTTTATCTGTATCCTCTGAAAAAAAAGACAGGTATGACGTTTCTGAGATACCGACAATGAAAAATTATTTAAAAAAGAAACGAAATTGGCCAAAATTAATTAAATGGTGAATTTTTTATTTTTTTATTTAAATGAAGATGTTTTTGTCGAGGCCTTCAATCAATAAAAAAATCTTTATAATTAAAAATTCGTATATAAATATTTTCTTATAGGTATTTTTTTATATAATAATTTGTGAAGTTTTAACATGTTGTAAATATGGCAATCGTCTTTTTAACGATAATATGTGATAACAATTCACAGTAAAATGATAAATTAAAAACAAACTATAGTACGATCGTATACGATGCAAAGTAGAGCAAAAAATTGTCGGTCTTTTATCAAAGGAAAATCGTGTCATTATTTTTAGGAGGCGTAAGATGAACCGTTTCAAATTTAAAATGAAATTGAATGTAAAATCTGAAATACCGCCGCATACGCACTGTGTTCTGGTACTAGCTGTAGTCGGCCAGGTGCATCGAGTGTACGAAGTGGTCGGTTATACGTCAAATACTAACCTGGCGAGCTTGATCGTAGAGCAGGGAACAATAAACAGTGGCGCGTACAGAGGTGAAATGTAGTACATATGTGGAATTTAAATAACGAATTGGATTTATAATAAATTACATTTAAAACAAATAGTTTATGAGAATAAAGGGATTTTTGTAGGAACAGGGTTCCAGACGTGAACTGATCTCTTCATCGCACCCCATTACGATTCTTTTTTTTATAAGGAGAACGAAGTTTCAAAGCAAAAACCTTGTATAACAGATATACTATAAATATTTACAGAATGAAAACAAAATATAAATCCTATGATATGATTCTATCAAATGAAAACACTAACAACAATTCTCTACCAATCTCAACAAAATAAGTTATTTTTCTATCAAACAAGAAATGTTAACAAATTATAAACAAAATATAAATTCTATGATTTATGTACTGTACGCCAAACTGCATTTTTCTCATCTTCATTTAATATTAATTTCTTCTTTGCACCCCCTTTTTTAGGTTTCTTAACGTCTCCTTCAATTTTCTTCTCTCTTAAAATTTTGAAAACAGATAATTCGCTTACTCCAGTATATCTAGAACACATTTCCACCAAACCAGTCTTCAGTTTCATGGGATGATCCTTTTCTAAAGGGTTATAGACATTTAATATTATCGTTTTTTCTCTGTAACTTAATATAGATTTTTTTGTACCCACAGCAGTACATCCGGCTCGCGAACATCCAGGCACCGCCTCCATTTATCCATATAACGACAACAGAGCAATAATAATACAAAAAACTTCACTTCACTAGCACAGAAAATATAATAGCATTCACGATTCACAAACAACAGCCCGAAACACACACACAGCACACAAATAAAACACTAAAAACACTTTTGTTACGGAGCACAAGAAATATGATTTCACTCACAAATTCTCAAATAATAGCGCGAAACACACATATAGCCCGAAAGAAATATAATTGCACTTATAACAGTTATAACCTCACAAATATCGCGAGCGAGAAACACGCAGCACCAATACAACCGAAACGAAACTGACCACGCCAGGCCGGCACGCGCGCCGCCGCAAAAAACACAAGACACAAGTCATATGAGGGATAATGAAGGGAGTAATAAATGTATTGTTGTCCTGCCGCCCAATGTGCGAAGGAGATGCCTTTGTTTTTCATTTTGTCCTTCATAAATATATAACTGTTAATCCATAATGCATAAAGAAATTATTCAATTTCCAAAACCCCCTATAAAATGTGTTGCACTGATTCCCTTGACAGGCAATGATTTATTACTTTGCATCGAATACGATCGTACTTATAACTTCATATAAGTCTACACATCTGTATAGTAAAATAAAACGGAATCTGATATTCACAATACAATCTTAAGACTGAAAATGAAAATTTGTATTTCTTGCCTACTTTATTACTAATTTACCATTGAGCTACCACAATTTGTCAGTGATCATTATAATATATAAGTAAATTAAAAAATATACTTTCCTCAAGCTTAAAATGTTTTAAAATGAATGTTTAAACCAAATTTTTTTATAAATTAAATTAAAATGACGTCATATTTACGTAATGTAAATTCATATTTACGATATTTTTTCGTAAGCTGACGTGCTTGACCAAATATCAAAAAATGACGTGAAAAACGTTAGTATGCTGCTTGGATAATTAGTTTTTTCTACAGATATTTAAATAGCAAAAGTATATTTAATACACGATGCTGTAAAAAAAGTTCATTATGTTTTTAATACTACGTCGTCTTCGTATTCAAATAGGTAAATCCTTTGTTGTGTCTGTATTTATAAATTAGTGTGAATCTCCAAACAACGTCAGAATGTTATTCTAGTTTAGTTAACAGTCTAAAAAAACAGTTTCAATTATTTTAAGTAATATATTCTAATCTCTACAGGAAAAAATACAATGCCTTGAATTTACTTTTGATTTCAGACATCCTTGAGCCAAAAACTGCAGTTTTCGTCACAAAAGATTTACACTTAGCTTTTGAAAACCTTGGAAATTAGATCTATAGTCTAAATCAAGATACCTGACAAGATTTGGAGATTTGGTTGAATAAATACGAAACAATGCCTGTGTTATTAATTGAACAAATAGTGAATTAAAGTTTGCTTACCCCAAAGAGCAAGGAACATTCCTCCGTGCTAAATGTTAAACAATATAGAATGTTACAAGGTGTCTTTTTAAATCGCTGACTTTAATAATGTGACTGCGAAGCATACAATCTGAATTCAATTTGAGGAAGTTAGCGGAAAGAATGATAAAAAATCCTTTGGACCAGCCATGAAAATTGGAAAAATGTGCTTTAAACTATCTTTTATTCAAAAAAAAAAAAAAAACGTTGATTAAGCTGGAATCCCATCAACGAAAAAAGGCAGCCACATAATTTGGACCTGATTTTTGTACTAAATCTTTCGTTTTGTAGTAATTTGAAAGACTAGATTGATTGCTATCCTGTTCCTCTACAACAGAGGTCCCCAAACTTTTTTATCTCTTAGACCGTGCCAATTTTTTTTTGTTTCGGATAGACACCTGCCTTTCTGACATTGAAATGTTACAAATTCATCAACTTCAAATGTGTTTTTTGACAGCTGAAACAGTGCAAGTTTTTGCAAGATACAAGTGTTGAGATCACAAAGCGAATAGCACGACGTGCTAAAATGGGATCCATTCTCATGGACCTCCATTTGCATCTCATGCACGCCCAATTTTTGTTTTAGCTGACATGGACCGTTTGCAGTCAAGAGTCGACCCCTAGAGGTCGATATAGACCACTTTTGGAATCATTGATCTTAGACCAACCAATATATAAAAAGAAAGAACAAATTACAGATTTTGGTCAGTCCTAAACACTGCGCAATATAATTTAGTTTAAGATAAAATGTTAATCGGTATGATTTTCTGAACAAAAAAGGAATTAGTTGCTACTATTAATAAAATGTATGTCGGAGACACTTGGTGGACATGGGATTAGTTTACTCCGTTGTCTCAATCGAAATAATACACGGGTGACGTGACACTATTTATTACAAATACGGGAGCTGTTATACAAGTTATAAAATAGGAACTAGCAACCTGTTCACTACTTTTCTATCAAAACAATAATAATAATAATAAAAGCCACACGGCTATGGTTGTTTTCATCAATTAAATGATCCAGTTGCTTCCCGGGCTTTCAGTTTTGTTCCGTTCACAGGGGCGTTACCCAGTGCATTCCCCTACCCTATCAGTTTACTTTTTACCAAACATGACCATATAAGGAAGTGTTAACAAAAGTTAGATAATGATGGTCTTTCACACACAGGCTAAAACTTAACCCTGAAGAGATAATAATTTGGTACTCTAATATTTCTGTAACATAAACAAAAACAAGCCCTTAACATTCCATCGACGGCGACAGTTCTTCAAGTGTCTACGAATTCATAAGCGGTTACAAGATCCAGCAGTTAGGTTAGATTAATTATGAAGTAGATAGAGTTATTTTCATTAATGAAGTTTAAGATATGTAATGATAAACATAAGAAGTAAAAATACGCTTTTTTTTCCTCGTCCTGTATTGTCAACTTGTAAACTGTCAATTATACCCTGGAGAAAACTTGTGTAACTGGTACAGTGAAGAGATATTGTTTCTAACTTGCTTAGATTTCCTAAAATCCTCGTCAAAAGAATGCTATAGATTCAGTAAAAATTAAGCATAAAAACGCCCTCCTTAATGGACGATTGAATGAACAGTGATCCACATAACACGCACACCCTGTACAAGGAAATTACGTTGAAAGTAAAATAAAGCACCGATCCTACCACTCAAGGCCTCCTCCACCGCATATTAATGACGCCCGACTTCATGAAAACTTTTACTGCTCAGTCAGCTAATCAAGATGTGTGATCAAATTCAGGAGTACTTTGACTATGTCCTGCCGCTGGTGAAAGAGTCGGGTAAAGTGAGTTAGTTTGATATTGAAAATATCAAGGATTTTACTAATCCAGATTTCGGTTTTGTTTTAATCATCTTCAGGAGCTACTGACGGCCGAAAATTATGAAGTGGAAACGAAGGGATTCGTGTACGATCTGGTGACGATATACGATAGGAAAATCGAGGAAATTCTCATTAACAGGATCAAGGAAAAATGGCCACAACACAAGTAAGAAAAGTTAATCTTACCATAGTGGATATTTAACCACTTAAACTGTAAGCATACACTGTCTCTACAACGTAAACAAAAAAAAACACAACTGTTCGAATAAGATTTAACAAAATACTAGCATAAACAATAAACAAATTATTGTGAATGGAAAAATTGTGTATAGGTATATCATATGCAGTACATATTTTTATTTTTAATATGTTTTTAAATATGTATGAAGGTGAATACAAGTAGGCACAAACTAGAAAACTATCTAATATTTTTTTGGTAGTTATGAAGATCAATATTCTAAAGATAATACTAGTTTTCATTTCTAAAAGCCACAAAGTTAATTTCATCTAATAATTTTTATGAACGTTTTAATAACAAAGAGTTTATAACAATCATTGTTATCATGACTTCAACATTTTAAATATAACTACGAAAATTTACATTACCAATAAGATAAACTCGATTTGTTAGACCTGGCAATTTTTAAATAACTGTTAAACTCAAACAAACTAAACATTTAGGATAAAACGTGATTGATAAAAATTATCGTTACACACAAAAATTTTCAAGGAAAACCAGAAGATAAACTAGAAACTGTCGCGTATAATTTAGAATTTCCCGGAATAGATTTACCTCTAAAAATCACACTAAATCTGCATTTGAAGGAAAACTCAGAATAATAGGAATAGATTAATTTTTTATAACGCTTTGAAACTTGAATGAACTTAATTTCTACTTATATAACCTCCAAAAAAATTATTCGTATTCGCGGAACTTATAAATTAACACAATGAATTATTATGTTTCTAATAAAAGAATCCGAACCAAAAACCAGTAATCTCTAATTCACCTCATCATTAACTTTAACAGACACGCATGGTAATTCTGAAGGTCACAGAAATAAACTCATTAGGGGCTAAACCAACATCGCTTCCATTCACACGTATTTTAAATTCCTCGAGCTTTTTATATACAAACAAAATAAGATATAAAACCATTGGATAAACCGGTTTCACCAAAGTTTTCTTCTACCTCGAAATGAAGAGCAAAATAACACATTTACGAGGGTGGGTCGAATGTGATTTATTAGAATTTTTACACATTATTTTCTCTGATAAAGCAAAATCGGCCCGTATCTGCTCTAACTGAAGGGAATGTACTTATTGTACTTAGGTATGAGAGCCAAAGAAATGGGTAAATGCGATTTGTCACATTGATGAAAATTGACCATCCCTTGTATATTATTTGCTGACTTACCTACGTCTAAATACTTAACACCGAAAGGTCACCTTACTGCACCTACTAACTAAATGTAAACAATGTAAGAAGAAAAAATGCTATTCTGGTATTTTAAGATTTTCTACATAATTTATATTTAAAACTATATGACAAACCTAACTAAACTTATTTTATGAATAAAATTCAATGCATGTGTCAAAATGGTGAAAGAGGTATGAAAGAAACTTAAATTTGTTTATGTAGGTAGCCAATTAACAAGTCCTTTGAATGTGAAATACGTATGGCATAAAAATTTGAGGAAAAACTCTCTCTGCTTTAGAAACTAAATTTCATTAGTATTGGTATAAGAGATATTAGATTGGTATAAGAGATATTAGATCGACTTTACGTATTATTATGTTACGTATCAGACTTCAGCTTATTTTGATTCAATATGAATCTGATTGTGGACAACAAAAAGTTTCTCACATATGTGTACAGTCCTTTTTTCGCATTTTAAACTCCCTTAAGCCTTTGGATCGCTAAATTTTTTTGTCCATCATACTATGCATGACTTATATTATATACACATAGATCAATAATTTCTATTAATAAAAATAAACAACTTTTACTTTTACTCCCGGACTTATCTACAATGATTGTCAAAATGTGTATATCAACATTTACGTTGAATAAATCGCAAATTTTTTGTAATTGTATAATAGCCAGAAAGATTTTAAAACCGGTTGTTTACTATGTGTTCAATTTGAATAATGATCACCGGATTATACATTATATTTAAGTAACAATAGCTTTGTAAAAAAATCAATGTTAAAGTTTTTTGATCTCTTAATGCGTGTGCCTTCCAAAAAACCTAGAATTTGATGGAAAACAATTAGCATATGCCATTAAAATGGTAATAATCCATCCTTCCTAATATTTATGCATGTCTAATTCTCCAAAAATTACTAAGACGGTCGTATAACGTAATAATTTAATTAATTAATTTTAATAAGAAGGTTGTTATGATTCCACTAAAAGGCGTATTATTACAGTTTAACGAAAAGTGACACTAATTAATCTACTAACAACTTCCGCCAAATTACGTTCTTGCGACAAGTTAATTAAAAAACTTAATATATGCTTATCCTTCAAGAAATTCATAATTTCACGCTTGTTGATGGAAGGTCCTTTTAGATCTACTTACGCTTTCCAATGTTACTTTAGATGCTACCAGAATCAATGTAAAAAAATCAATCTGTAAAATAGCTTATATTTTTCTATTTTCCTTTACATTATACGCATAAGTAATATATTCTTAATACATTAGTGCAAGCCTTGACATTCACATTTCAAGGTTAAGATATTAGTAATAATTGAATTTGATACAATTATTGAGATCATAATATTCATTCACTACTGTTTATGATTCACTAAGATAGAACTAAATTACATTTTTTATTTTATGCTCTGTGGGTATTTACCCAAATGTATGGGAAGTTTCATCCATTTGAATAATGTTTACAGATTACCTACCATTGATTTGCTTATTTAATGGGAATTCCACGTTATTCTAAACTACCTCAATCCTCAACTATGTTATTATTATGAACCATTTAAAATAAGTGACGAACAAAGAGTAATGTCAAAATAAATAAGTCTAATCTGACCCATAGAATAATTATATTGTGCATAGCTACTGTATAAAATAATATGCGCAAGAAAACAATTTTAATCTTACAGAGTTGGTTAAAATACAAAATGTATCGTGTGAATTTTTAACAGGTTTATTGGCGAGGAAGAATCCGAGGTGAACGGTATAAAAAAACTGACAGATGACCCCACTTGGATCATAGACCCCATAGACGGAACAGCGAATTTTGTAAGGGGATTGAAGATCACCTGTGTCTCCATAGGTTTAGTCATTAAAAAAGTACAAATGTTGGGAATAGTCTACAATCCATTCTTAGACGAATTGTATACGGCCATTAAAGGACAAGGGGCTTTTCTGAATGGCAAAAAAATATCCACTAGTGGCCAGACTGGTGAGTGGAATAACTCCGTTCAGTTATACAGTTTTTTTAATGAAAAACACAAATTCTGCCAAATATACGTTCGTTCAAAGTTGCTTCGTTTGTGAGTTACAAAGTGGTATGTTGAAATAAAAAATATATATATTTTTATCATATCTTGGAATCTGGCATTAGGTAAATGACTGTGCTATTATCATAACTAGATTCCTTAAAACAAAAATCTATACCCCTGTCGAAAATTACATCCAATTGGTTTTGTTTAGTTACATAATCAATTTGCTAAAACAAAATACTCTTTGTTTAAGAAAACTTAGAGTTTTGTTGCAAATCATTTGAAATAATGTCTCATACACTGCGTCTAAATTGAGTAATTCAAATTTTATTAAATTTTATAACAAAAGAACTTTTCTCTTTCTCCCCCTTTTAGATACAATTTTAAAATAAAAAAATATACTAAAAAGTAATTTGAATATGACAAGACGTCGTTGAAGCTACACACTGATGTATAGTCCAGTCATTGAAGGTAAAACACGGCGTTACTGTATAATTCTCCCAAACCAAAATTTGGGTTTAGGTTCTACTTACCCTCTACTTCAAAGTTGACCAGTGCTGGGGGCTGCTTTTTATTTTTTAGGGGTGAAAAGTACCCCTATTTGAAAATAATTATAGAATTGTAGATTCAAGCGTGTAATAGGTTGAAATCATCTTTAAATAAGTAATTATGATGAAATGAAAATTGTCAATCCCCTCATCTATGACAGTAATCTAAAAAATAATGTTGAAAAATATTATTCAGCAACTTGGAATAATTTAATCTGTTAGTGATGAAATTAAGATTTCTTTACTGTTTTAATTTTTTGTTATTTATAAGTTTCAACATTTATAAAAACCACCCTTGCAAAAAAAAATTTTTTTAGTTCAAAATATAATACAATCTTTATTATTTAAAATGTAATACATTTATTTTATCAAACCTTAAAAAAAACCTACTGATTAAAATTTGCAATCAAAAATATCGAAAATAAGAATTTTATTTTTACATGAATTTTAATTTTTTTATTTTTATAACAAAATTTTTTTTTATTGCAAATACAGGGTTCATAGTTCAAAAGTAATGAAGAATTCCCTGACTTTTCCAGGTTTTCCCTGACTTATAAAAATAAAATCCAGGTCACTTGTAGTTCATTTTTACATACTAATTGGTGTTTATGCATTAAATTTTTTCTCGACTGGACTCCATAATCTTTTTTATACCCTAAGAACCTCTTATAAAGGTTTCAAAACCACAAATAGTTTTTTCTTTCAAGAACCCAGGGCCGGCTTTCACAAAATTTCCAGTTGCAAACATCAAATTCCCTGACTTTCATGAATATTTTTAAAATTCCCTGACTATTCCCTGTTTTTTATGAAGAATAACGAATTCCCTGACTTTTCCCGGTTTTCCCGGCCGCTACGAACCCTGAAATAACATATAAAACAATACGGACCAACTTTATTTTCGTCATAACTCGCTTAGGTTTGATGCTAGGGACTTTTATAAAAAATAAAAATAAAGGTTTTTTCAAGCACTTTAAAAATGGTTCAATGAGTAATCCCAGAAAAATTCATTGGTTTTTGGTTATTTCACGTTCAAACTTTCAATTTTGACGTTTGACGTATAAGAACCAACCTTCAACAAGCTATTACTCCGCTTGTATTGAGTCTACAGACACCATAAATACACCATTCTTTTTGTTTTTTTATAAGCTACATTTTTATAAAAAAATATTTTTTTGATAAAATACTTACTTTTTGAGTTATTCGCGAAAAACCGTCTGAAATAGTGTTTTTTTTTTGGTTAAAAAATTTACACTCACTCGCGAATAAGTAGAAAAGTACTGACTTTCAGAAAAAACTTTATAGAACAAAAATAGCTTAGAATTAGTCAATATATCCATTTCCGAAGTTATTTTCAATGAAACATTTTTTATCTCCGAGAAGGGGTGGCATCCACCCCCAGGGTAAACGCAACCCCCGGTACAAGGTCAACTTTGAAGTAGAGGGTAATTTTTATGAAAATCGGTGTTGTTTGGCAAAAATATACGGGAAAATGGTCATTGACTGGACTAGTATGTATAAATTTGAATATAATTTGTTTATTGACATCGCAGATACAAAAATATGTTTGATTTCAACATGGACATCCTGTTCTCGCAAATGAAACAACTTATCCGTTTATCCGATTATCCGTTTGCTGTTGCTGTGCTCCTTTATTTAAATACAGGGTGTATGTACTATGTACATATTATTAAAATTTGATTTTTGTATTTATTAAACGTTACATATGTTGTAAGTACTTTCGTAAGTTTACTAAATGCCTAACATTTTATAAAATGCGGCCAGATTGTTAAATCTTCATTAATCTACGTCATTTTACTCTTTGGATAATCATTTTGTAAAAACAGTGCGGGATCAGATTGTCAAATGTTTAAAATCATCACCTCTTTGATATTCCGGCTCTTCAGCCATTCAATGACACGTCCAATATCAGTTCCGCCAGACTATAGAATGTGTTGAATGATTTGTTGTTTCTCTAATTTGCAGTGGCGGCTCGTGACATTGAGAATAGGTGAAGCATATTCGTTGATTGACTAAAGAGAAAAAAAGAGGCGCCGCTGGCGCTGGCTCACTTTCAAATTTTCAAGGTCAAACGACGGCTTTAAATGAACCTGGAAATTTCTAGTTGCTTTTGCAATATTACCGAAAAACTGACGTTCGTGAGAAGGGTTTTCATTTAGATTTTATAAAAAATAGAAATATTAGTTCGGCTTGTGGTTACACCACAGAAGTAGAAATATTATTAGGAATTCAAATAGAGTAATGATCTTCTCCATATTCTATTTTAATTCCTAATAATATTTCAATTTTCTACTGCTGTGTACTGTAACCTATTTCAATTAAATAATAATACAAACTGTCAATTAATAACAATGTTATCATGACATTACCTGTCACTGTCACGACCTACCATACAACATTGTCCATGAGTAAAAAGGCCTCTCACGGCCTAATTAGTGGGATTTAGAATATCTATACGCATTTTGGTCCATATCAATGTCCGACATGTCAAAATATATTACAACTAAATCTGTAAATCCTTACGTAATTGGAAAAAAGGCAGAAGTGCCTGAAAGAGGTATAACAATTACAAGATATCTTATTTTTTTAATAAAAAACATTTCCTTTTTTTAATAGTATCTCGCTTATTGTTAGAGATGGACCCAACAAATCCTATATGACTATACACGACAGGGAACGTTCTATCCAAATATGTAAAAATATACAGAGTGTTCAATTTAAATTAACAAAGTTAACATCCGCGGCCATTTTGTTTGGACTTCATTTGTTTTTCAAATGTCATTTTCGAAAAATTCATACAAAATCGTGCAACTTTTGTATTTCCCATTTTTGTATAACTCTTAAAATGAAAACGTTAAAAGGGGGTCAAAATATAGTGAATCGCCCTGTACACGTTGTCTTTTGACTTCCCTTTTTTCCATATCGAGAGAATAAGGCACAGGTCTCTCGCAATTTAAAAAATCCGTTTTCTTCTCAATATTCCATCTGGAAAATGACGTTTCCAACAAAATACATACTGGATCACACATAGGAAACATTTCTACAATTATTGTGCAAGACAAATATTAACAAAGAACCGTTATAATCGTGCACTGAGCGACTCGTATCTCGTATGGTATAAACCGTTAAAGGCAGGCGATGGGCGATGCTGCTTCAATTTCTGCGTCACTCGTTCTATTGGCCGTTGATATTCGCGCTCAACGAAAGTAATCTTTAAAAGGCATTCACCGCGCAATTATTCTGTTTATTTCTGCGTATTAAACAAACAAACACAATACATTTTCAATATAGAATTATACCTAAATCATAAAATTTATATAAAATTAAAAATAATTTTAAATTGCACAACCAAACGGAAATTTTAGGTAAAGCGGTGCGTCACTTGCGTCACCTGACGAGCCGTCACTACTAATTTGTATGATTGGATTTTATTTACTTCTTTAACAACTAACTGTGACAATTTGTTAAATTATTCATCTGTATAGATATATGTTTGCCGTTCTAATTTAATTTTTCTTCAGAGCCGCGTTCTGTTCGTCGTACAAAATGACTAGTAAAATCAACGAAAATTTGACAAATTGGTCGCCTTTTAGAAAAGACATATTCCTAGGTCTTTTATAAACCGACATATTGTACAACTGGGCACGGTACATACACTAAGTATACAGCAAGATAATCAACTGCTGCTGCTTTTTTTAAATCAAACACCTTTTTCTTTTTCAGAAATTGGCCAGACCATATTCAACTATGAGATGTCACTGGCAAGGCGTCCAAAATATTACGACCTGTATATGTACAGGTTTAAGCATTTAATAAAAGTTATAATGGGGTAAGAGAAATTAATAAACTAGAAAACAAAAACTTATGTTTTTCTCCCAGATTCAGATCTTTAGGATGTGCCGTTCTGGGACTCTGCTACGTGGCTGATGGGCGATTAGACGCCTATCAGTGTGATGGGTTATACCCCTGGGATGCCGCGGCAGGAGTTCTAATAGTTAGAGAAGCAGGCGGATTTGTATGCGATTCGAGGGGTAAGTTAATTATTAGGTATTAATATTTAAAAAACGTAAACACATGACATATCGTGGGGATGGTGCATATCTATACGTTCTAAATCTCTCGGCAAAACTGATGCGGTACTGGCTGAAACGATCACATCAGGTACAATTCATTTAACGTCTTGTTCATTTCTACATTTTCTACATACTAAAATTAGTAATTTAACTACGTTCGTTAACAGAGTGCAAGCGTGCACAAGCGGTTGACGGGCTCATATTCTCCGCATATTGATTGATTCTCTAAATTGTGATTTAGGTACACGGGTGATCAATGATCATAATCATCCAAAGATAATTCATCGGGAATTAATTGCAACGTTGCAATGAAGGTAAAATTCCCATTTCATTTCAAAATGGAGTCAAGTGTAATTGCAGTAAGGCCTTGTATCCTTAATCTTTATTTTTTATATTATTGTGCTTTATTATTCCCAACGACTAGTTAATTGTTATTGAAGGAATTGAACTATTAGCACATGATCTTTTTTGCTTAAAATTAATTAGAAATCGGAAAACAATGTTAAATTTAATATGTTTTACGTACCTAGCTAGTTCCCTATTCGTTTCATGTGCTAGAACGAAAACTAGAACAGTTTCTATTTACATCATCCGCAATGAAGAAAAGTTTGAAGTATTGAGAGGAAAGGAAATGTGATAATTATCATAACATCTAAAGAACAAGCATGTCAAATTGCCGATTATTACACATTTTTAGGCCTTTTGCTAAGAACGAGAAAGGAATAATAATTTTTTTCAATCTATGGCATTTTGTTAATACTTCGGGTCACAATCAAAATGTCGGTGAGATTTCTGGCTTTTAAGTCAGTCAAAAAAGATTAGTTGATTTTAAAAATAGAGTTTCAACGACACGGTTTTTATTAAAAAGGCGTGTCAGTGTAGTTTGCATTCTCTGCTTTGCACTTTACTCACAAAAGTTGCCAAAAGGAACAGAAATTCTACAAAATCACGCTTCTTAAGCTTCGATGGTTCAAGCATTATATTGGAAGCAGTTCGAGTGTTTTTGTATAGAAAGAAGGCACGTTCTGGAAAAACATATATCCTTTTTCAATTGGTGCTAATTTTAAAGGATCCTGCCTTCAAAATCAAAACAGTAGATGGAACAGAGAACAGGCTATAAGGAAGCTTGTTAAAACGATTTGGAATCCAGTTGCAAATGCTTCTGGTGAAATATTATGATGATATTAATGTTGTATATTTGATAATTTTAATGTTCTCCAAAAGGTTTGAGACGTTAAAAGCAAACAACTCCAAATAAACCTAGTATGAAACAATTAACACCAGAAAATGTGCAGAAAAATTTTCTTCAAGACTTCAAGACCAGCAGCTGCCACAATTTGTTAAGAAGAGAAAAGCAACATATAGTTAACCTCTGATAACCTCTGAAATGTTTGACCTATATCTCAATATTTGAGAACAGCTATATTTTTTCAAAAAAATAAAAAATCACAAAATCAGACAAGTAAATGTTTTTCTGATGCAAAATAAAATAGCAAAGCTTTTTTTCGTGCTTTTTATAGTTACTTATAGAGAACAGATGGTGATTCTTATTATCTTTGTTATTTGACATTATCCAAAATACTCACGGAGAATAGAGGTCCGAATGTGAAAACAGATCGTCTATTTCCACATTAAATTTTGCATGGTGCAAACACCCCTTTGTTGGATATTTTTTAAATTGCCCCATATCATGTAATGAAATATCACAATAGACAAAAGCTGTAGACCAGGCAGTAGGAATCGACGCCAAATAAATTCTTTTAATAGTTGTAATTTATTTAATATTTAAAAACCTCCCATTGTTTAAAAATGAATTTAAAAGAAATGGTAATCCCTTATTTTTGAGTCTATTTCTATTTACATTTCAACTTAAAAGTAAATTTTATAAAAAGATCTACGTTTCCATTGATTTTGTTGATGATTTGTTTTTTTTTCAATTGATTAAAAAATGCCAGACGTGTTTATTCATTGGTTAAGGAAATAGGATAAAAATAACACTGTAGACCATTATGAAATTTAATGTTTTGTTCCTTCTTAAATCTTATAATATAAATCATCATAATTACAAAATAACTTTCCTTCTTTTTGCTGAGTAACATTAACCACAAAATCCATGGCCTTCATGTCAGTCACTACAATAATGATAATATAATAACTATTGTTATCAAAGTAGAAATAAGTATTTTTACACATGCTTATATGTATAAGACATGGCGTACACAATTTAAACAAAATAATAAATTTAAATTTATTGTAGGTAAAGAGTTCAACTTGATGGATCCAAACTTCCTGGCAACGGCCACAAAATCATTGTCCGATCAATTTATGGTTATCGAACGCAAAGCAGACGAGGAGCGAATAAACGACAGAAACGCATCGAAGCAATAAATACTATATTAAGAAAATTAAGAAAATAATATTCATTAGACTTTGCAAATTGATATGCACTTAGTATACACAGGGTGTCCCTAAAATAGAAAGCCTATTGCTGTATAGCCCTCTCGATGTGATACCGCGAACCAATGTTAATTATATCTTTTGATGGCTTGAACTAGAGATGTCTTACTTGGTACACATCTTATATTTACGTGTAAGAAAATTCTAAACAGAATAAAGGTTTATAAACCACGTGAACCATTGAACTTAGGCAACCTAACATTGCACGATTGGTACTGCTAACGAAAATTCCCTAGATCTTGGCGTCACCAATATTAATGACTTGTTTATAATGACCAATGACAAATCATTACGTCTACGCTCGAGATAAAGCGATCGCTGATTGGTTGAATAGTATCTCGTGAAAAATTAAACCAATCACAGCCGGTAAAACGAACGTTGTGTTTTAATGTAACCTTGATATAATTTGTTATTTTACCCAAATTTAATTACCAACATGAAAGAAATAAAATTACTGTTCTCAACAAAATTACTGGTCACGTGGCTTGTAAAGATTTATGAAAGTTCTGTAGGTGCATTAAAAGCAATTCTAGCCATACAAATAAGAAAAATGTTTGTAAGAACATGCTTCCAAATGTCCTTAAATGTTAAATTTCCCATTTTGTACAAAATGATTTTCATTGATGTTAGTTAATTAATAAATACTTTCTTGTTAATAGAATTAAGATTAGTTTAGTTGAAATATTTATACATTTAAATTGTGAATTGATTGTTGTAATTATCATATACTATATTCTGGGTGTTTGTTTTTCTTTTGTAATATCAAACATGTCTATTAATAAAGTTTGTGTTGCTCATTCTGATGTTTGGTCTTACGGCCACATCTTGAAAATATTAAGTATTTTATGTAAAAACACTATGGATATTTGGTTTATCTAAGACATGGCTTTGTTGAAGAATATAATTTATAGAGAATATACCTACTATAGAAGTAGAGGTTGTGGAATTTGCTTTTACATTAAAACCAATATCAAATAAAAACTTATACAACAGCAAAGAAAAAAGTGTCTCAATACAACTTAGCTATATTCCATATGGTATACAAATCATGACACTGATCAGTTAACAGTTTAAAGATGTTTGTTTTTGTCTGATTTTATTTTGTTATTCTGGGTGATATGAATATTGGTCTGTCTTCTAATGATTTAAATATAATGAGATTACTTGGACTGACGCTACTATAGAATAACTCCATATTGAACTTCACTAATAGATCACATTTTTATATCTGATGAGCATTTCATGCAGAAAACTTGTGTTATTTCAACAGATTTCTTTAATCATGACGGTTTATATTGTTTGAAAGGTAAAAAAACCCAAAATGATCGATCATGCTAGATACTATAAAATCTGTAAAAGTTACTAAACCACAATTACCTTGGATAAATGGAGGGCTCAGAAGCCAATCAGTATAAGTCACTGAATATAGTAAATGAGAAAATTGGATATTTGTAAAACTTGTAATAAAATAAAGATTCCCGTAAAGATACTAATAATAATTTTTATTGAGGTATAACATTTCATACATTCATACATTTCAACTTTAAGAAAAAACCTTCAATACGTAACTCAATTTGAAAAGTGACTTAACACTGATTGGCTTCTGAGCCCTCCCAATGATCCCGTCAAATTATTAATATTTCTCAGAAATAAAATTAATTGAAATATAATAAAATGCTTCGAAACTTTAAAACTGATACTATAAAAGATAGAAAAGGGAGTATTTTTAATAACTGCAAACTAAAGACACTAAATGATTTACAAATAATTAAGACGTCTTAATATTAGTAATAAACGTTGCCAGAAAACTTACACAAGATCCTAACATATAAAATCTATAATTATGTTACTATTATAAAATAAAATATTTTCAATACATACAAAACAAACAGTAATTGCTTCCATAATTTTTATTAGGATGAATAGAAATTTTGCGATAAAGTGCGTGAATGAAATCTAGGTATGTGGCGCTATGTGGATTTGTAGATGGACGATTCCAGCGGATCAAAATAGATCGTGACAGGCACGCCTATGCCTTACGTTTATTATTGAACTGACAAACATACAGTTCACTACAATTGGTCATTATTACGTCAGCTGCATAAAACCACCAATTTTTTTTTCTAATTTCACGGACAGTATTTCATCATTTATTCTCATTCCAATACTTTACTAACAGTCGCAATCAATATTTCTGTCAAAGACAACGATTAAAGCATACAATCACAGTATTTACCTGTCTTTGTTGTGCGTGACCCATAGGCATTGGATGTCCAGCATAAGGTTGCCCTTGCGGCATATTGCTTCCGTGTGGTGGACCTCCTGGCATATCCGGATGTCCCTGTGGGCCAGGATGACCCTGTGGAAGACCACTTGAATGTACTTGACCACCAGAATGCCCCTGAGATGACGGATGGGGGCCAATATGATGAGAACCAGACGGATGACTTTGAGGAGGAGGCGCACCACTCATCATTGGCATGGGGGGACCTCCTGGATGTTGGGGAGGGTGAGACGGGCCACCTGGGTGAGGCGGGCCACCTGGGTGAGACGGGCCACCTGGGTGAGGCGGGCCACCTGGGTGAGACGGGCCTCCTGGATGTGGTTGAGGCCCACCCATGTGAGGTGGGGGGTGACCTGGGTGGCCTTGAGGAGGAGGGTGATTTGAGTGGGGAGGATGCGGGTGAGGGGGCATGCCTGCGTGAGGATGCGGGGGCATACCAGGATGGGGCTGTGGAGACATGTGAGGGGGCAGAGCGTTCATAGAATGAGAATGACTAGGACTTGGCAAGGAGGTGGGAGGAATTTGTCCCATGCCTGGATGACCGGAGGGGGGCATGGAAGGCATAGAATGGGGTGGTCCATTCATGTGTCCCATAGGAGACTGATAAGGGCTGTGAGGGGAGTGTGAGGGAGCGGGACTTTGGGTGGGCGGGCCCATTGGGCTTGGTGTTTGTGGCGGTGGCATAGGGCTGCTCTGCGGAGATGGGCTCGCCATAATTTCTGAAATAAAATTAGAAAATATTATATACCGATTAAGATCAAATTACCTTAGTACAAACAGGTTTTTTATCCAAATAAAATTGTATGTTATACTATATCACTAATACCGCAAAAGTTCTAACCTCAAAATATGTCATAAAGTATCACTGAATAAAGTCATAGTTAACGACTTCTAGTAGATAGTCAAAAACTAACAAGACTAATGCATTTAGTCCTTGAAAACTAACCTGTATAATATTTCAATGCATTATGTTATATTTCTACAAAATAAAGATTAATAGGCTCATGGTCCAAAGGAAATTTTCTTATTTTTTAATTATCCATAAGTCCCTAAATTTGTGGTACCTTTTTCCAAAACATCCTATATAAATTCAAGAAAAATTTCATCTTAAATAATTTTATGTAGTACCTAGAGTATTATTACTAGGATGTAAAAAATATTCTTAAAAATTTTACTTCTTTTTCTATGAATCTAGAAAAAATATAATTATGACTCTTCACATAGGTGATTTTCTTCATCTCACAATCAGTTCAAATCATTCTAATTGATGCTTAAAAGCTTTAGAATGGTTCTTTAAAGTTATGTAAAAAAATTCATTATAAAAATTATGACGGAATGTAATTCAAATTAATAAATTTCCAATACTCAAACACAGCAGATACATTAAATTAAACGAATTTAAAACCACTGTAATTTCCAATAATAACAAATGAACTTCTGCCATCTATCTGCAAGAAGCTAAAACTTTCTTGTTTGTTTCACTATCTTATAGGCAACCAGTATTACAAATTACAATTTATGATAACTAACCAGTTAAAAAATTAAATTTATAAAAATTTATTAATAACAAGAGCATCTTATTAAGTAAGAACTTTCTTATCTATATAAGACTAACATCATCAATAAAATGTAATGTTTAATTTTATAAATACACCTATTTACAAACTATTTTTTATCATTTTTAAATAAATATATTTTTTTAATTTTACAAATACTTAAGTAAATTAAAAAGTATTAAAGTACCGCTACTGATTTCCCTGCGCCGCTGGTGTTACTCAGAGATAATATATGGATTTATGATTTCATTAACATAATGGTTATATTAAATGAATTGAAAACGATTTTTTTCTCAGGGAATAAGTATTTTAAAATTATTAAAGTTAGTTATGCTGCATTTTAATGTGATATTTTTTTATTTTTATTCGTTTTATTTAATTTTATTGCCGCACCAAGGCCGAACAAAGACAAAACATTTCAGCTTCGGCGTTCCCTGGAATTATCGATAACCTATTTTGCATTAAATTTTCTGGATCCTTACACGGAATTACTGAAAATCCAAAATTATTTTTTAGAATTTGGTCATCTGGCGAGTTTTTTGTGGGGATGACGTTGTACCGTCCGTCATTCGACCATTCCTTTTGATCTATGACCGCTCTCAATCTCATTGGTAAAAAAATCCAACCGCCGTTTCAGTCAAGTATTTGAAGGTTACGGATGTTGTCTAACGAAAGCCGGTTATATTTAACAAAATAAATAAGGTGAGTTTGACAGATTTATACGTTTTTCGCGTGTTACGTAGAACAGTTTTAAGATACAAACATAATTACATTGCAAGTAATTTCACAATCGACCATAGAATAACTAATAAATTTTAATAAAAACACAAGCATATTTTACTCACATTGCAATGTTATTTTGTAAATTATTTATCCTATTTTGCAGACTGTGATTTATCGATAAGTTCTAAGTTTAATTTGACATCGAAAATGTTTTTCGAATATTTTTTTTTCACTTAAAATTAGAAAACACAACACTCGCCATTTTCTACTGGAGCTGTAATAATTTGTTTTCTTGTTTTGATTTTTCCGTCTCTTTTCAGCCAATTACATTTGTGTGAGAAGAAAAGAGAAAAGTTCCTAGCCACTGAACGTGTGCTCTCAAACAAGCGGCATATTTAAATCTAGAAATTTTATGATGGATATATTTTCCTGTATAAAAGATTGTCTCTTAACATATAATTACCCACTTGTGCACTCCATGAATGAAGAAGAGATCGCAGATATATTCAAAATATCCAACAGATGTTTTTTAATCACTTGGATGTTGAAGTTAATAGACAGTGCATATGAAGAGGTTTTGGTAAATTTTGAAAATGACAAAGAATTTTTAGGTAATATTGTTTGTGAACTTGGTTTATGTAGTAAAAAGGTGAAAATACCTTTTATGGAAGGAGAACTACCTGTTACTCAACAAGTAAGTTGTAATAGTTACTAAAAATTTTGATTCTTTTATTTATAAATGAATTTTTTAGGTAAAAATTATTTACAATATATGTACATATATAATCGATATTAAAAAATATAAAGATGAGGAAAAGACACCTATCGTAAGTAGTGATGATCTTGAAGCATTGGTAAATACGGATTTAAATCTATTCCCGATGTACGGCGATATAAAGTTATTAAACCCATCAGAAAGGGCAGTGAAAGAGGCAGTGTTACAGAAAGAATTGGAGACTGTCCGAATTGATGAACAATCAACAGAAACTAGGACTGAGGATAAGTGTTTATTAGAAAATGGGTTTAATGAAGCTATACAGGAATTTATAGAGAAATTGAGAATGGAATTTCCAAAAATTAAGTCCGCTATGGAGATGGTTAATAGAAACAGTTGTCTGGAAACTAATAATATTATCGAGTTACAGCCAGATTTAGTAGAAACGTTAAAGGAGTCTTGTAAAAACTTAAAACTAATATCTCAGGTAGGAACTTATTTGTCCATGACTTGTCTAACTATACAAATTTCTGTCAATATCAAAACATGACGAAACAGGTGTACCTTGTACCAATACATTATTTTTTTTTTTAATTTCAGTTCATCAAAGACATTAACACTATTGAGAACTTTGAGTGTGACTTTGGATTAAAGGAACAGGGTAGAAAGAATAATAGCACTTACAATATGATTAAAATGCTGCATAAAGAGGTATTAACTGTATTAAAATACAGTAGATATCTCTAATATCAATTACTAATTATTAGAATTTTGTAAATTTGTTTCACGTCTCTTTTTTACTTAGAGGTTTCCTTTCAATAAAACTTTTTACATTTATCAATTTTTACCAAATAAATTGAATAAGAAATTATACACTTTTTAGTGACTTTTACGTAATTTCTAGTCAGTGGTACCAATAATAGTTACCTTTATCGAAGTATAATTTTTATTAAAAACTAGCCGACCCAACGTCCTGTCCAAATTTCAGAAAATTTGTTTGTGATAAGCACTCAGTTTTACCCAAATTTTCCAGTTTTCCGAGCAACTTTTCCAATTTTTCTTTCCCTAAAAACCTTATTACGAACATTTAAAAAAAACATTTGCCAAATCGGTCCAGCCATTCTCAAGTCATGCGCTTACCAACGAACAGCATTTAATTTTTATTTATATAGATTTATTGTATTTAAAAATTCGTGACACATGTAAAAGTTATACAGGGTGTTCCTAAAGTTCGTCAGGAAACTCCGGGAGGTGATTCTACGGACTAAAATAATAGCAGTATGTAATGACATTTTTTTCGAATTGTCAATTGTTTGCAAGTTACAGCTTGTCAAAGTTCAATTTTTTAAATTTTTCTATTTAAATAACTTATTTAATTCAAGTTCTATTAGTCTCATTTGCCACACCCACTAAGTAGATAAAGCTTTATTGGAGCAGTCAGAGAGAAGTTTCATTATGGGCCGCTAGAGGGCACTTTACCTAGATCTCAAAATTCGTTCTGTTCATAACTTTTTTCTCTTGCTAATAAGCATTGAACCCATACCATTTTTTAGATGATATTTAGGCTCACAAAGAGAACTTTTCTATTGAAAATTTTTTGAATATTTGTAAAGGAAGAAATTAAAGTTGGGGGTCTTGAAAAAAAGGTTGCACATATGTGCAAAATATATTTTGTTTCATAATTAACTAATAAATACAATTAAGTATTTTCCCTTTTTGCAAAATTTTGATTTTTCTCAGTTACAGCATTATTAATTTTGAAAAATGAGTGTCAAATTAAAATTTAACCAGGTAACTACAAAAAAAATTCATTTTTGTGGACTCCTACTCATAATTGTATGTCCCTTGATTAAGAAAAAAAATATTTTGCATAAATATCTGCAACCCTTTTCAACATCCCTAATTTATTTTCCAAATTTTCTCAGAAATTTTTACATCATAAAAACTCTCTTTATAGACCTAGAAATCAAAAAATGGCATGAGTTGTATGTATTTATAAAAAATATGATCACCTCAGTTTTCTCTAGTCATACGCTGCTATTTGATTTTTAAAATAGAACCTTCACTTTTAATATTACATTTCAAACATTGAAAAGTATATTTCAAAAATAGCAGGATATACACAATTTCTAATAAGTACATATCTTTAGTTTTTGTAAACCGAAATACTCTACATAAGTTGTTAATCCATAAAAGCGTACAAAGGAAGGTTTTAGAATTTTCCAAATTGGCTATTTTTCAACTTTTTCATAAATTTCTTTGTTCTATGTACTACATACTACCAGGGCCGGATTTTCCCTTAGTGCCGCCCTGGGCACCGTAAACAATACCCGTACCCATTACCCATATTTTACACAAAATTATGAGGGTTTAGAATACTTTTTGACTTTCCGCTACAAAAACCACTAATTTTTCAAAATTGGGAAGTTATTGATTTCAAGCCGATTTTTGAAAATCGAGTATTCATCAGATCTCGACGTTTTGAGATCATAGGAAGCTGAAGCTCAAAAAACTACTCCGAATGCTGTACCTAAATCCCATCAAAATCAGTTGATCCGTTCGAGAACATCATTGATGAAATGTTTTGAAAATTTTTTTTTTTCTTTTGAAATGACATTCGAGTTCCTAGTGAAATCGAGATATGGTACTCAGCTATCTCTATGTGCTTTAAAAACGTTAACAAATGGTGTGGATCGTACCTCAACCGGTTGATTCATTTAAAAGATATTTCTGCCCAAATATTAAAAAAAAGTAATTTAAAACAATTATCGGATCTCTAAGAGCTCGATTACTTGCAAATGCGTATGTTTTCCAGCGCTTTGAGCTCGAAAATAACAAAAAATTTGAGGGATGGCCTGTAAGGTCAACTGTTTCAGTTTTTTTTTTAAATAAATAAAATAATTGATTTGTTGTTGAAAATATTTTTATTATGATTAAAATGATTAAACAAGAAACATTATTTTTCGTATTAAAAATCATAAATTATAATGACACATAAATTGAGATACAGGATACATATTTTCAGACAAGCACGCCTGATTTTTTGATTTGCAAATTGGTCAATTAAATCTTCACAATCCAATCGTTGAAGCAACTCTGATTCAATGCATAATATGGCTAAACTTCCACATACTTCCTTGTTCTGAATTGATGTATTAACTGGCTTTGTTTCTGTACCTTCCTTTTTTGAGAAAGATCCATCTTGTTTACGAGTTTTATATAATATTTCTTTCTCCTTTTTATTTTTCTCCAAAGCACGGTTTCGATAAGCAAATCCGCTTAACTTTTTCCATCCGTCGATCATCTTTGTAAATTATGCACAGGTTATATATGTTTTTAGATAAATATATAAATTTATTGCAAAATGCAATTTTTATTTTGCAATTATCTTCCACAATTTCTCCATCGTAAAAGTTCTTTATGTATGCATATAAATCATCTAAAAATTGGTGTGGGTCCTATATTTTTTTAACAAAATATGACCACTAATTTGCATTAGCCGCCACTAGTTATATGTAAGGAGCCATCCATAAATTACGTCACACGAATTTTAGGACTTTTGAACCCCTCCCCCATCCTTGTCACAGGTTGTCACATTTTTATAATCCCCCCTCCTGATGTGACGTCACACATTTTTTAAATTTAGGCATATATTTAAAAATAATCGAGAGAAAACAGCTATTTTCATTTTTTACTCTTTTTTATTAAATGTTCTAATAAAATCAACATAAAGTCCAATATTTCAGATAGCGAGAATGCTAAATTATTAATAAATATAGATCAAGTTCGTCGATTTTTATACTTTTTTATTCACATCTAAATTTCGCGTTTTAGTATTTTAAATTTTAACAAAACACACAAAACTTTTGACCCCCCCTGCCCCTTGTCACATCTCGGTGATACCCTCCCTCCCCATTTACGTGTGACGTAATTTATGGATGACCGCTAATGTATGGTACTTCAACCATATTGTAAACAGTGACAGTTTCTTGAATAATTAGGTCAATAAAACAAATTTGAAATATGTGATACTTACAAAAAAAAAAACAATCTGATCTACTTATATTCTGACAAATTGAAGTGGTCATATTTTGATAATGAAGTATGGTAGGTACCCAGACCGTTTTTTAGGGAATTATTTTTATGCTCACAATGTTTCTGTGTATTTTGCAAATATGTACACAACCCTGATTGAAATCCCAGGATCGGCAACTCTCAATTTAATTTGTTTTGGAAATTTACTTTTGAATTTTTTTCACATGACCTGGACCTGGAAATCATTTCCTAAAAATGATCTGAGTACCGTACTTTATTATCAAAATATGATCCCTTTAATTTTTGATAATATAGGCAAAGGCATTAAAAAATCAAGTACTACCCATAAATATAACTTTATTTCCATCGGGACATATTTTTTAATTGTTTATAATGTTTACAATAAGTTGAGTGAGTTCAAATTCTGGATCAATTAGTCTTTCGATTATATCAAAGTGATCTACATTTTTGATAGAAACAAAATTGGATTTTATTCCAAATTTTAAAAGGTATTCGTTAAATCTCCTCCCATTGTCGACAAACGCTGGACTGTCGTTCTCTGCTACAACTACATAAAAATCTGTATCTTTTCTTACAGACAACTTCTTAAATATTGGACTTGCAGCCCTTGCTGAGTCTTCGTCGAATTTAAAATCTTTATTGTACTCAGTTTTGATGAGCGGAAGCAAGTCGTATATTCCACATAAAAGAAACGCTCCTTTGAATAGTGACTGATCTGCCTCGGGAAGGGAAGGTATAAAACTTTCGAAGAGCCTTGCAACTATTTGGCCTCCAACAGAATGGCCGCTTAAATATAAGCCGCTAAAAAAAAAGAAATAAAATAATCCAATGAATATCGTATTTTATATGAGATGAAATCTTAATAAAAAAATATGCACAGAGCACATCTTATGTATTTTTAGTATTAATTTGTAGAAGACTAAAATGAATGATAGAGGTGTTAAACTGGTTGCCTATAAATTGTAAATTATACAGTTTAGAATCTTTTAATTTTAGAGTAGGTATATGGATTGTGATTAGTGTGAACCTGATAAAAAAATTTTACTTTAGTAACCCAAAGTGCCTATTCACACTTGACTAAACCGACTAACAATACTCCGGTAGTAGATGTGTAAAAAGGCAATAAATGGCGAAGTTGTTGAGATTCATTTTCCTATTCTAAATATATTTTGCACATGCTCAGTAGCTACTTTAATTTTTCAATCTGCACGTGCTTATGCAATATCAAATATGCATAGGCAATTAGACTGAATTTTTGAAATGAGTAATCAGTCCATTATGGAGTGTATACAAGGAGTGAAGACTTCGAGTTAAAAAAAATGAGCCATTTCTTGGGTCAAGTAACGGCGGCGCTGCTGTAAGTAAGTAGAGTATGAAATACTGAATACTAGGTACTGAAAAACAAAATGACATGTGGAGATGATCAAATTCCCAGTTTCCTAATAAAGGATTGCTCGGGAGTTTTAATTATACCACTACTACAACTATTTAATCTTAGTCTCTTCAGCAACTTTTCCCGATATTTGGAAAATAACAAGAATATGTCCTATACTTAAAAGCGGCGATCCCGGAAATTTGATGAATTATTGTCCTATTGCAATTTTATCCAACTTCGCAAATGTTTTCAAGATGTCTCTATATACTCTAATCTTTAGTATTGTCAAGGGTTATATTTCACCAAATCAACATGGACTTGTAACGAGACGATCTACAGTAACCAATTTAGCTCAATTTACTCAGTATACAGCAAATCATATGGATAACATGTTGATGTGGTGTATACCGACTTCTCGAAGGTCTTTGACAAAGTTAATTATGGCATACATACTTCTTAATAAGTTATGTTTATTTGGCTATGTCAAGGCAAATAATTATAATTTAATATCTACGCAGTGTGATATAAACCACGCATAACTCTTTGAAGAAGCAAGGTAATTTAAATCTAAATTGGTTTATTTTCATCTGAAGGAGCTATTCTTGAAGTTTCGTTTTCAAACACTCTGTATATTTAACAAAGGTCAGTTGATTTTGGAACAGCAATTGCGTTTTTCTTTAAAAAGAACCCGTGTTGTTAACGATTTTAAAAAATAGGTACCTCAAGAGATTTATATCAAAAAATGTCATTGGGAGAGATCGTGCCTACCGACTTCTAGGGAGGTAAAAAATTAACAACACTGATTATTTATAGTATCCTCCAAACTTATCTCTACCAAATTTCAATAAAATATATTGTTTTTTTTGGTAAAGATATGGCTAAAATTTGATTTACAAAAATCATTAAAAAAAAAAATGAAAAAATTGTCTTTATGTTCTATCAGTCCTCGAATTTACATAATTAATCTGAAACACCCCTGTTCATATGTAGGCAGTTTGAAGTGTTTTGACAGTTTTACTTTAATGAACTTTTGTAAAGTTTAAAATTATTATGATTTTTAAATTGACAATAACAAGATAACATTGATATTACCTAGATCCATGTTGCTTGGCATATTCTAGACACTTTGCAACTGCTTTTGTAATGTTTGCATTAATTTCTTCTACAGAAACTTTTGGCAGGAGCTCGTAACCTACCAATATAGATTTTATTTTATTTTTGTGTAACTGTTTTGCTATGAATGAGTTGTTGCTGTGTGTTAATAATTCTTCTTTCCAGTAACCACCATGAAAGTGGACGAATATTGGAGCATCTAAAAAATGAATTAAAAAATAATAAATAAGTGTTTGAAAAATGTTATTGCGTATGCGTAGGTAGGTACCTATTACAATTTTTCGTTTTATGAATTACTATAATAACATGTTTTATCGAATTTGAACGTTATTTTTCTGTAACTCACCATCTGCTAAATCGGTTCCAAATATATTATATGTTTCCCTTTTTCCAGAGCCATATGGTATATTTAAAGTACATGGGATTTGATTTTGGACTTCTTTACTATCTAAAGATAGATATTAAACATTAGGTAGATATATTAAACAGAGATAATTTTTTATAAATTTGTGGCAGTGCACTTTTATCAGTAATTGATTTCAATTTGATTTACTGATTTCTCATGGGACTTTAATAAATTTGTATTTTTTATACAATTTCAAAATATTTTGTGTTAGTTATTTTGTCACGCATAATTTTTATTTTTTTTTGTTTTTATTTGCAAAAAAAAAAGAATTAGTGAAAAGTTGTTTTTATGAAGCAGACGAGGAATATTTTCTTTTTTGTAACAGAAATATTAATTTTATTTTTTTTTCGTCGGTAGCAGAATGCTCAATAAACAAAGAAAAAATATATAAGTTTGCCATTTTCAATATATTTTCTTAGTAGCAGGTTTTCATAAGTCAAAGAAATTGATACATTTTGCAACCTTGAATTAAGTGTTATATGAACCTATAACACACAAAATTAATTTTGTAACACTATTTTAGTGAATTCTGGTTACATTAGGCAAGTTCAGTATTAACATTTAGATGCCCTGAATGTGTTTTGTTCTTTTCTAACTATAACACATGAAAAAACAAAGAGGTATAGGTACTTATCTGGAGCATTTCGATATAAATACCCAACTTGCTTATTTTGATAAAAAGATATAGTGTCAACAGTGCTGATGATAAAAATAGTTAAACACTATTTATATTCATCATTTTGTTGTTCTTGGGAATCTTTATTAAGTAAAATAAATCAAGTTGCTTTTTTTTCAATGTAACTATAAAGTCTTTCCTACCAATGCCGTTTTAATTTGACTTCGTTTCTCGTTTCCTTGTTATTGTCAATCTTATTCTTGTCGTAGAACGAGTAGAAATTATAGTAGATAACCTCATTTATTAAATAGAACAAGTTGAAGTCAATTTTTAAAATTATTAGAAGTTAATATCAAATAAATAATATTCAAATTTGGTCTTATTGAATGGCAACAATGATAATAAATTCATTAAATTCTTTATGAATGCATTTCTTTGATTGTATAAAACGTCTAGATCATAATTGATTACAATTACAATATTACAAATTTACAAATTTCTACTTACTTTTTTCGATTATTTCAACATGTTTGGAAACGATAACATCAGGTAACAATCTTTTCGACCATTTGGATGGGGAATATAAAATATCCAATTCTGATTCTGCTTGCATTATAGTATAAAACTAGAATAGAAGCCGTTTAAATTCATTTGGTCCTGTATTCATTAGTGATGGGAGATTTCGAGTGAAAAATCGAGTGGTACTCGATTATTGAGATTGATTCGAGTGATTAGGTATTACCCTACGGTTGCACCCCAAAATGTTAGTGCATACTGCAAATAGTCACGGATTGCGTAACCTTTTTCTTAGAATAAAACGAAAAAGTGGTTAGGTTTTGAAGTGCGTGAGCTTTTTTTTTTTTTTTTAGCTACGCTTATAAGTAATATATGACTAATACAAACATATTTGTGCGCCGCTGGGATGAAAACGACCAATATCTCGTATCTCGAGTGATCACTCGATTATCAAAATTGGTCGATTATGCCCATCACTAGTATTCATTGATCGTAATAGTGAAAGGAACTAGGAACTTGTTTTTGAACATTACTCACAAATTGTGAAATCGACCTACAGACTAACCACGTGCGCGAATACAATACGACATTTATGGTGTTATGTTTTCGAGATAGTAACAAAATATAAAATAGAACATTAAGTGCAATTACAAGTTATAATTGAAGCAAATACCGCAGAATTTTTAAATATTTAATGTTACTTACGTGAATGTTTAAATACCTAAGGGCCAAATTATTAAAGTAAGTTTAACTTACAGTTAACTAACAATAAGCTTAGAATGTGATTTAATGCAATTAAAACGTACCGACATCAACACATTCTAATCGTCCAGTTAGTTGTACTGTAAGATAAACTTACTTTAATAATTTGGCCCTAAACAAATCACGAATGTGTAAAAATACTATATCCTTTGTTTAAATCATTTATATAGTCTTAATTATAATGTTTACTTACACTTTTTCAGAGTAGATGAAGCTAGATAAGATACGAACGTTTATAAGACAACAAATCTGCCTTCGTATTTATAAGATGTTATGTTAAGGACGGGATTTTGTACAAAAAATATCGCCCAGCGTGTCACGAAACGGGACCCCGCTACTCTAGCGGCCAACACTTCAAGGTGTGTTAATTTACGCTGGACCACAGTATACTAAATTGATTAGTATACTGTGCGCTGGACCGATATTTTAACAGGCCTCACGCCCGATTGTTCAGGAACGGCTCCAATTTGTGTACATCAGAGCTGGGTAATTACTTGTAATTTAAAAATAGTTACAATTACAAATTACTTTAAAAAAAAAGGAACTAATTACAATTACAAAGTATATTCTTTAAAAAAGGAATTATATTAATTTAATTACAGTTACATGGAAAATGGATTTAGCAATTACTTTTCTAATTACTTTTCTAATTACTTTTATGATAAAGTAAATTATAGTGACCAAACAGAGAAAAAGGAAAAAGTTAAGTTAAAAATTTAAATTAAAAGTGTTGTGTAATATTGCGTTTTATTATTTATTAGAATTGATACTAAAATGAAAAGATTATTCTTATTCATTTTCTGATATAGAATTTTTATATTTTTATTCCTAATCTAATAATTTAAACTAGTTCAGTTCATACTATAATTTTATATTATTGGTCAGGTAATTAATTCAACCCGATGCTCTTTTTTTTGGTTGTTAGTACATTTGCAAAATATAGAATACAGTAGTTTTGGGTAGACTGGAAAGCAATAATTATTATTAAAAAAATTACGAATCGAACAAGTACGAGTGAAAGGCTGAGTAACCGAACCAGAAGTTTTCTCAACTCAAAATAAGAGCAGTAACACATAGATACATAATATATATTTTTATAAAACTTGATGCTATAGACAACATATTTTTACTTCGTATATTTTCTAAATTAATAATAATTATAATAAAATAAAATGTACTCTGTTAATTCTGAGGTTAATTCACCAAATCACTTTTTATTGTTCACGCGGCACAAGGCTTTCCTCAAATGAAATAATAGAAGTCTGCAAGTCTGTACGCAATTACGCAATACGCATGATCTTAAAAGTAATTATAATTATTAGAAAAAGTAATTGTAATTGGAAAAAGTATTTGTACTTATAGAAGTAATTTGTAATTCGATAGTTCAAATAATATAATTACAAATTACAATTCCTATAACGATTTTGCTGCAATTACAATTCCAAATTACTTTAACAAAAAAAAGTACTTAAATACAATTACAATTACAGGATAAAAAAGGGAATTGTAATTGCTAATTACTTTTTCACCAGGAATTACCCAGCTCTGGTGTACATACAGTCAGGAAAGAGAGTAAAGATTTTATTAATCATTAATAGATTATCGAGGACAATAATAATTTTTTTATTAAGTAAGCAATAATTTTTAGTTAATAAGCTTAAACAATCTTAGAATTACCATTCCTTTATTATAAAAGCAGATATAATTTTTAAAATTCCATGTAGTTTCTTCTTCAAAAGCTTTAAAAAACGTATAACAGGAATAGTCAACAGACTAATGTTTATATTTTCACGTTAACAATCCGATACATAAATTACCTGCTATTTTCAGTAAAAATGATATAACTTGAATTATTTTTTTACTTTGGTGAGACGTATTAATTTAAAAAACACTGCCTAATTACTAAAATATATAGAAACTTGCTACTAATTACGTTTGGAGAATAATATGTATAGTAGGGTAACGATTTTTTTTTTCGTCTCTTGTGAAAATATGTTAGTTGTACATATGTTATAATGTTTTAAGAGCCCCCTCAAAAAATCAGCTCAAAAAAAATTTTTTTAAAGGTCGCTCAAAATTTTTAAAAATTTCGAAAATCGTCAAAAATTGATTTCTTTTTTGTTTAATTTTTTTCCCGTTGTTTTATGATTTTCTAGGTTGAAAAAAATCTCGATTCTGAAAATTTCAAATCGATATTTTAATTTCTAAAGGTCATTCATAATTATTTTAATTTTCAAAGTTGAGCGACCTCTAAAAAATAAAAAATATCAAAAAAAAATAAAAAATTATTAATATTTTATACTCACAGTGCGGTAGTAAATTTTGCCTCGAGACATTTATTAAGTGTCTCGTGATTTATTTCTATTATTTTGTTGATCAAATTCAATGAAAAAAATTGTTAGTTCGTTGATATTTATTTTTTAGAGGTCGCTTGAAAACAAAGGTATCTACACTACTTTGAAAATTAAAATAATTATGAGTGACCTTTAGGAATTAAAATATCGATTTGAAATTTTCAGAATCGAGATTTTTTTCAACCTAGATGATAAAATAACGGGGAAAAAAAATTAAACAAAAAAAAATTCAAATTTTTACTGACTATAAGTCGCGCTATCGTCTTTAGTACTGTGAAGGTCATTTGTCTCGAAAGCTCTTTTTTTTATTTTTAAGCAAAACAGAAGGGGATGCTATCTCCGTAAACAACAATCTGAAAAAATTTGTTAAAATAATACAGTTATAAAGGCTATACTATATACTCTGCATCGGACCGTGAACGTAATTAACCATTTCGATACTGTTTTTAAGAATGTCATATTTATAACTGTATTATTTTAACATATTTTTTTCAAATTGTTCTTCACAGTTATTTGCTACCTATGTCAGTTCTTTCTTTTTTTAAAGAACACCATATTTACGGAGATAGCACTCCCTTCTGTTTTACTTAAAAATAAAAAAAGAAGACCTTTTGAGACAAATGACCTTTACAGTATTAAAAACAATACTTCGACTTATCGTCAGTAAAAATTGGAATTTTTTTATCAGTTAACAAAAAAATTACGACGAGTTAAAGTGAGAGGTATCAATAATTTTATATGCAGAAAATCGTGATTTTTTCAACATTTTCATTAATAACTAAAAAATGGGATAACGAAACCAACTGAAATTTTAGCACACAATAGAGTAATAGCACAGAATATATAAGCTATATATTCTGTGGTATAATTAAAAATATTTTAACCAGAATAAATACAATATTCATTCAAATTATTCAAAGTATGATATGCTTTGTACCTACTGGTAGAAAGGTAGATATTATGAAGTAGGTAAGTAAGTAAACATTTATTTCCTTAAGTTATTACAATATGAAGTTATATAAACAGAAACAAAATTTTTGAGATTAGAGAAAAATAACATAAAAAACCTAATTAAAGGTGTAAGGAAAGTATTGTGTTGACGATAAATATTAAGTAAGTATACCAATATATTTACATATCTGCGTTTTAATGTAAAATTTAAAAAAAGAAGAGGAAAAATACCTATATAGAGCACAAACTTACGCTAAACATTAAAAAATAAAATAAAAGGCAATAAAAATTAACAGTAAATAAACAGACACATATTTGTGTATTTACATGTACAAGTTAAAACTTAATTTTGATAAAAGACGTGATAAACTATTATTGCCTTAGAGTGCACTGATAAAAAATTCATTTAAACAATAGAATTCATGACCTCGTAAAAGGATCTTTAGTTTTCGCTTGAAAACTTTACTGTTTAATGTCTTCAGGTGAGATGGTAATTTATTATAAACCTTTATCCTCGAATACAAAGCACCATTGCGAGTTCTATTATAATTATTATATTGTGGTAAAGTGATTTTGATGATGTGTAGGATAACTATGATAATTACTTGGTGTGTTGATCAAATGTTTATTTTTATGAATTAAAATAAATAATCTGTAAACATATAGATTAGTAAGGGTAAAGATTCCAATTTTTTTAAAATAACTACTGCAAGATTCTCTATGAGATAAATCACATAGAATTCTTATTGCCTTTTTTTGTAGTAGAACTAGTAGATCCTCCCCAAAGCTCCATTCCATATTGCAATACACTCTGGAAATATGCATAATAAACAATCTTTGCTGTGGAAAAATCAATATTTCGTTTAACAGTTAGTATTGCATATATGACTGTCCCTAACTTTGTCTTTAAATTGGTCATGTGTTCCATCCAATTCAACTGAGAGTCGACATAAATGCCAAGAAATTTTGTAGATTGTACTGAGCATATTTGATCACTATTTAATTTTAAAGAGGTATCTGTAATTCCACGTAATTGAAATGTTATATTGTTAGTTTTATTGCAGTTTAGCATCAGCGTATTTGCAAGAAACCAATCAGAAACGTGTTCTAAAATATTTTGTGGTTTGGTTATTAAATCGTTTTTGTTAGCATCTTAGCAAGCTGGTGTCGTCAGCAAATAATGAAAATTTGACCTCTGGAAAATTTGAGACGATATCATTAATATATAACAGAAATAACAGTGGTCGCAAAATAGAACCTTGTGGAACTCCGCTTTCAACACTGGCAAAGTTGGAATGATTTTAATTTAGACTATTTCAGTACACATCTGTCTTTTAAATAAATATGTTTTAAACCAATTATTTTCCTTGTCAGTTATGCCATAATACTCCAGTCAAGTAATATTTGGTACAATCAAAGGCTATGGACATATCCCAAAAAATGCCTAACGGGATTTCCTTATTTTCCAAACATGTTTTCTATTAATTTATGAAAAGTGTAGCCCGCATAGTACCTAGTTTTCCACGATAATTCCGCAAAAAGTTAATATAAACATAGATCCTGATGTTCTTTAATTTAGAGATAGAGGACGTTAAAGATTTCAATTTTTTTAAATTTCCAAACTGTCAAAGATAATAATTAGATCAAAAGATAATATGTACAGAATAAAGTGTCATATCAGCTAATAATTTCAAATTTATGATAATTTATAAGTGATAAAGAGAATATTGTTCCAGACAACAACCGAGCTGACTCCAACAATGTTGCCTATTATAAATAAGGCCTAAAACTATGTCGTCATATAAGCCTAGTCAAATATTAAGAGAAAATTAATTTGTCTAATTGCGAGGATTTTCAATTGTTTATACATGAAGGTTATGGGGGTTCACAATATGCCGTGGTACGAAACATCCATATTACTTGATATAAAAAACTTGGATCTTGACCAATTTTGTCCAACATAGTTCTGCAAAACTCTAAACGACAGGGTAGATCCCCTGATTGCAAACCTTGCACAGGTTGATAATGAAAGAGGTGTGTACAGTTTATTTTTATTGC